AGTAATCTTAAACTGCCTTCTATACCGTTGATTGAAGATGCAGTCACGAAGAATAATCAGTTACCCTGCACCTCCAAGGAATCGCCTCTGCAAGTTGAAGAAGACATCACTGAGTTACTCTCAACTTCAGCAGAATCGCCATCACAGTTTCGTACGGAGCCTGTAAAGAGCACTATACAAGACATAGTCTGTATTGTTTGCTCAAAAGCAGCATCAAGTGCTCACAAGTGTAAATCGTGTAATATGTTTGTTCACGCAGTTTGTGGTGAAGTAGATCCTAAAGAGGAAGGGTATGGTAAGAATGTATTGTGCATCATCTGTAAAAAGAATATGGATCAGAAAATACAGCGTGATGAAGCCAAGAAATGTTTAGAAAAGCAAGCAAAGAAAATGTTAGCAGTTTCTAATGCAAAGCACCCAAACGTCGATGAAGGTTTCGCTGTGAGAATTAAAGTACCCGAAGAAGACAGAGCAAAAACTGATGCACGTTCAATTTTAGCTGTGGTTCTTAGTAAAACAGAGGATGGCTTTTATAAACTTGATACTAAAACAGGTATTTTAAAACAATTGTATGCAAAATCTGAATTCAGTGTTTGCAAAGAGAGATTTTTAACGAAAGAAGATGGATGTCCCTGCTGTAGAAATATCTTTACGTCAAACAGCAATAAAACAATCCCTTGGTACTGGGCAGGGTTTCAGAAAATGTGACTGCAAATCTAAATGTACCACAAATAGGCGTGCTTGTCGCAAAAACCAATTGCTACGTAATTCAAAGTGTCACCAATCTTTAGATTGCACTAATAAGTAAGTACAATTTTATCATATGTTTTGCAAATTCATTTCCCTAATTGTAATAATATTTTAAACCGTTTGATTTTTGTATTAAAGTTTTTTTAATTGATTGATGATTGATTCAATCAACTAATTTGTTGATTGTATTAACTTGATTCTTTAGATATTGAAAATTAAATAAATAACATTATGTTAACTCTATTTAAAATTTATTTTGTATTACTAGTACATTCTATATATTAACAGGACTTATTATACTGGACAGGTGAACTAAATAAAAAACATTATTTTTGAACTGTAACACTAAATATCTGCATCCTTAATTCCAGTATAATAAGTCTTGTTAATATATAGAATGTACTAGTAATACAAAATAAATTTTAAATAGAGATAATAAAAAAAAAGGACAAAAAGGCATAATAATTAAACATTATGTTAATTTAAGCGTACAGAAACGTTGCTGTTGTTCCAGCAAAAATCTTATTTTCACTTTACCGAGTGCCTAGTAGGCAATTTGCAGAT